GCTTTAGTCCTGATTTGAAACTGTAAGTACATTTTTTTGCTGCTGTGTTTCATATTTGGTTTGTGTTGGTTCCAGTTTTGGGTTAGTTCTCATTTTTCAAGTTCTGGTCTTGGCTCAGTCCTGCCTAGACCTGTCACGATAACACATTTAGAAGTACTATATAAAAGGAAATACTGTGATAAATGATCATATTAAACTACTTTATGCCACAGACGCAAAGCAAGATAATGCCAGTAAAACAATTTCTATATACTGTATCATTAAAAGGCATCAGCTGCAACAAAAAAATGGCAAAATGAACCTAAAATTTGGCCAAGCTGCCTCCGCTCAATTTCATTTTTCTCCAGCAACTAGGTCAGGAATCAAAATAAACCAGATGGTTTGCAAGAACCCCGGAAGTGCAAGTTTGGGTAACAGCCAGTAGGTGAAGAGTGATATATTCAGTGTTGTCAACGATTTCCGAGATCGAGGATTTAAAACCGGAACAAAGAGAATGTTTGGTGAATTTTATCAAGGGCAAAGACATTATTGCCCTTCTTCTTACGGGATTTGGGAAAAGCTTAATATACCAGTTAACCCTGTAAGCGGCGCATTACATACGTCACAAACAAATAGCAGCGATTGGTTAAATGATAAAAAGTACCCGCCTACCGTTAAGCGAACGAAATCTAAGGCTGCGAGGTCAGACGGTTTGTACGAAGTGAAACAAAGTAAAACCAGCTACCTATAATAAGCCTATAATAAGCCACAGAAGTGATTTATTCTACTCTCTAAAGTTCAAATCTTGCATCTTACATTAAAATGACCAAATTCTCCTCACTATTGCAAAGAAACTGTACACACGATAAATATTAAGCCTCAAAATATATTGTTCACAGCATTCATACAATGAACGATACATCGATATAGTATTTCTCGTGACAGGTCTTATGTTGGAGTCCTGGTTTACGTTCACAGTACACATAGGCCAACTGAGAATACTGGGATCTGTGGAGCATGTATACATCTATGTCAAGGATAATACAGTATAATGACTAAGTCCAGACTTACTTGTAATAACATTGCCTGCACAAAGTAAGCACTCGGAAGTGAACGGCAGCCTTGATATTAATAGAATGTTCCATTGTGTAAGCAAGTTAATATTCCCATAAAGTGAAAGTGGCCTTCAAAGACCTAATGGGTGCTGTGGTCAAATGGCTACTTATGGTTATAAAAGCTAATGAATTATTATTATTAAAACACAAAGTCATTTCGAGATAGCCTGTAGATAATGTTAGCTACAGTAGCCTGCTCCCCGGGCCTATATTTATATTACGCTATTTTCTGATCTGTTATGATGTTCTCTCCTCATACACAAACATACTTAGAGTTGTGTTTTGCTTCATCCACACATGTTTAACACACAAATCCTGCATATTTATTCTTCTCTCAAACTGAAAACTCTCTGGTCCACCTTGTGATGTCATGTGGTAATTGCTGGGTTTCAGGTGATCACAACGTTCTATAGATCAATAATATTTACAGATGGGGGGGCAGGTAAAATGAATATGGTTGAAATGTTTTTTTTTTTTTTTTTGTAAAACAGTGAGTTCTTGAGCCTAGTTAGTAATGGGAATGATCAGCTTCAGCATTTATGAATTTATCTTCAGATATTTTATGACAAAGTACAATGTAATCAATGTCCCCCATCTGGGAGTATGACATCTTCACCTTCTAGAACATGAAAACCGCCAATACAGGAAGTGCTTCACTGTGTTATTAAATTACACACACCTTCACTAGAATCACTTGGATAATTTTAGCCCTGGAATTACCCGTCTTTACCAAATTAAAGGTAAAAGGTAGCTTGAAAACTACCACTACATGACATCATAAGGTGTAACAGAGCATTATGAACTGTGGAAGTGTAGACAGACTAATGATAAAGGATTACTCGCATATGTGAATGATACAAAACACAACTCCAGGCATGTTTTGGATGAGATAACAACAGTCTAACATCATGGCTTTGTGTAATATCGGACCAATTGATACTTTGCAGCTGATGTCAACAACATTCCCTGTAACTGTAAGCACTGCTCTATCTGAGGCTTGTTAGGCTCTAATCTAATTTAAATTTAATTTCATTTTTTTGGCTGTGTTTGCTAATGTGTGCACTGTGTCACACAACTACAAAAACAGTCCACCACAGAAATACAATCCCGGCATGATGTCACTGCAAAGTATCTAATCGAGATCTGCAACGCATTAAATGTACTCACATGAGCTGTATGAGCCACTGATGTATAATCTGTATAACCTCTAGCATGAAGAACGCTATATATACTTTCCCATCTATCCTGTCCTCTTCTTTTTTCCTGACTTTCTTTTCTCTCTCTCTCTCTGTATTTTCTCTATAACAATGATTGTGTGATTGTCATGTACTCACTTTGTACACGTCATGGCTATGTTACACTGTGTTTTTGTGCCAATAATAGCTGTAATAAAAAGACAAGTAGGGGACTCTTCACCACAAAAGTTACATAGTGCAGTGACAGATATGTTAAACTTAACCTTAGGCTAATAGTAGTATTTTTTAAAGATGTAAAAGAAAACAGAATTTCTAGGTGTTCAAAGTTAGGATGACCAGATGTCCCTATTTACTTGGGACAGTCCCAGTTTTGAGCCCTGTGTCCCCTGTCCCAGCAGATTTATCCAGAACCAGTGATTTGTCCCAATTTTATACAAGAAATGTCTCAGGTGTTCCAATTTTGATAGGGATTTTTGATACCTGCCTACAGTAAAGAGGAGCGTAAATGGACACTTGTTTGGGTAAAATACAGAAAAGCATGCTTAAAATGACCAAAACACAAAGAAAATAGGACTACACTGACTCACATGTTAGTCACGAATGGGCTGAGTGCAGAACAGTTTTCCTTAATTACACACACATTTCACAATTTATTATTACTAACCACCCCAAACTGGTGGTGTCCCAGTTTTTGATACAATAAACTTTACTCTAGGATAATAGATAATAGAATAAAGCATAATTTGTACAGGGTGATCAGATTTAAAAAATTCTAAACTGGGACACACCTGGGATGGGATGTTTGGTAGAAATAAAACTGTGAAACAAAAAGCGTGTAACATTGTGCATTCTCGTGTCAGTCATAATCTGATGAACTTCTGAAGCTTTATGGTCATTCAGAAAAACGGATTTCTGTATTTGGGCTAAACAAATGACAATTTATGCTCCTCTTTAGAATTGGCAGGGATCAGATTAGTCAAAAATTAATTGCCATTTTAGTCCTGGTTTAGAGTTGATGTAGCCCTGGTTTAATCTTAGTTTAGTCCTGGTTGAGATCAAACTGGTCAAAAATAGGAACATCTGGGCAAATCACTGGTTTTGGATAAATCTGCTGGGACAGGTGACACAGGGCTCAAAACTGGGACTGTCCCGGGTAAATAGGGACATCTGGTCACCCTATTAAAGATGCACTATGTATAGGGTGACCAGACGTCCCTATTTACCCAGGACAGTCCCAGTTTTGAGCCACTTTGATACCTACCAACAGTAAAGAGGGGAAAATATTCTTATTTGTTTAGGTAATACAGAAAATCTCCTTAGAAATGACCAACATACAAAGAAAATGTGACTATACTGACTCACATGTTAGTCATGAATAAACCATGAGTCCATAACATTTCCCTTAAAGGGCCACTAAACACCAAAATCACTTTTTTCTGCTGATTTTATTATTACCAACCACCCCAAAGGTCTGTGTACCATTCATTCTTTTGAAGAGCAAAAAAACAATAAAACGGGAAAACTTTGCTTTGGTGTCAAACTAAAAAACAGATTTCAACCTCTATTTCCAATATTTAATTTAAAGTTTATTTTAAATAACACCAATCAAAAAACAATCTCGGTGCCTATTTCAGTTTTAACATTTTATTCTCTCTGGTTTATATGCCCTGGAAATTGTGCTCCTTGGCGCGTCACATTTAGTGAATTTAGTGTCAGCTGAACACAGGAGAGACCTCCCAAACCGTGTATCAATTTTTGATTTTGAAAATCTGGTTGCCCTAACAAAAGTTACATAGTGCCTCATTATACAGATATGTTAAGCTTTACCCTCAGTGTTGGGAAGGTTACTTTTAAAATGTATTCCCCTACAGATTACAGATTATATACCCCAAAATGTAGTTTGTAACATAATCCATGAATTTATTTAACGTGAGTAATGTAATCTGAATACTTTGGATTACTTGGTTTGCTGTAGGGAAGCAAAGACTAGGATGGTTTAGTCCTGGTTTAGACCTGGTTTTAGACCTGTTTTAGATCTGGTTTAGACCTGGTTTAGTTCTAGTTTAGAACTGGTTTTAGTCCTGGTTTAGACCTGGTTTAGATCTAGATTAGATCTAGTTTAGACCTGGTTTTAGTCCTGCTTTAGATCTAGTTTAGACCTGGTTTTAGTCCTGGTTTAGTCCTGGTTTAGACCTGGTTTAGATCTAGTTTAGTCCTGGTTTTAGTCCTGGTTTAGTCCTGGTTTAGACCTGGTTTAGACCTGGTTTAGATCTAGTTTAGTTTTCCACAATGAGTGGAATTACCAACAAAAAAAAAAAAAAAAAAAAAAGAAAAAGAGCGATTTAGCCTGAAATGTGAAAACAGGAAAATACCGCCATGTGATCCATTTATTTATTACCAATTACCACTCACTGAAACAGTAACTGTAACCGAATACAGTTACTCATAATTTGTACTCTGATTACGTAACTCCGGTACATGTAATCTGTTACTCCCCAACACTGTTTACCGTAAGATAATTGTTGTATTTTTTAAAAGTTGTAGAAGAAAACGAAACTTGCAGAAAACGAGGGCCCCCAAAGTCCCTGCAGCCCGCGCCCCCAAAAGTCGTCGCTACGCCCGCGTGCAGCCTGATCACTTTCTCATTAGCGCTCATAATAATAAGCCTCGTCATGATCCCCCGTGTCCTCCGTGACACGACCCACCGTACCGTCTATGAGCGGACACTTGGCCAGCTCTCCCCTGTCCTCTGGAAACGACTCCACCAGCCGCTTGAACAGCCGTCCCAGGTCCGAGTAACTGCGGTGGAGGTAGAGAATATTCCGGTCCGACCACTCCGTCCGGATCTCGAAGAAGTCCTCCTCCTCTCCCCGCTGACTGATCACGAGCCTCCGGACCCCGTTCACCCAACAGTCCCGCACGAACATATTCACCAGGGACGTGCCCTCGAACACGGCCGAAGCCATTGGTCAACCCTCGGTCACTCTTCAGTCCAGCCCCGGCATGATAACGAAAAGATAAATTAGTTTTAAATAGTCGAAAAGTTTGCTCAAACTCCGTTCTAGCTTTGTGACTTTTAAGCTAGTTTGTTTGGCTAGCTTGTTCGGTCCATCACACGCATTGTCAAACGTGGCATAATTAGAAAAAAGAAAAGAGGTTTGTGCTAGATAACGCCCCAAAGAATTGATTTTAAGATAACAGCGTCAAAACATCCAGCGCAGTCGTTCTTTTACGTAATTCCCATCAAGAATCCACAAGAGTATTCCATGAACTAACTTTTCTTTCTGTTTCTTTCTGCAGAAGCTGTTGACACAAGTCCACTGTCAAGAGGAGAGGACAGAGGAGCTTGCCTTGGGTTCCCAGTCTGAGCACAGCCTCCTCCTCCTCCTCTCTGCTTCCTCCTCCTTGACAACAGGCTATTATCATGCAAAGAATGTAAAGGGCTGCAAAGAAAACAGCATCCTCCATCCTTTTAGAATGGGAATTAGTGACATGTCAGAGCTGTTTTTCCACACTTTGGGAAGTGGGCTGCTCATTCCAGGACATGGGACGCACCGAAGTTCACAGAAGTGGACCCAACAGTCTAAAGTTTTGGTAACAACTCGATATTTTGGGAACATTTAGGCTAAACTGAGCTTAGCTTTAAAATAAATGATGGAAAGTATATTAGTACATTAAATAAAATATAAAATAATGTTTTATATATAGTTTAGTATTTTTTATTTTTACTTTATTTTTACTTTTTACTTTAATCTGGCCAGTCGAACTTGATTAATATTAATGATAATAATACGTTTCAGTGTTTTGAAAGTCATTTCTATAAATAGTAAATATCATGGGACTTGAAAGACAGATATTTTGTTGTAATGCTTTGTAATGATTTTCAATTTTGGGATATTTCAATAACATGGGGTATGTTTTCTACTTATGTCTTGGGGTCCAAAAACTGTCAAATTTTAGAACCCTTTGTGGCCCACGAGTCAAAACATTTCTTGAGCTAAAGTGACAATTTGATCCCACCTGCCAGTTACAGTAAAAAGAGGTTCAAATTATCATTTATTTATTTAAGATACAGAAAAGCATCCTTAAAAATCACTAAATCACAAAGAAAATGTGATTATACTCACTTGCATTTTAGTCATGAACAGGCCGAGTGCATTACAATTTTACTTAATTACGCACTCGTTTGTACAATTTTATTATTACCCTACTATTCCAGAAGTATATTTCCTATCATTTTTTCCCATAGACTTTACAAAAAAAAAGTATAATAATAATAACAGTTTGCAAGTTTGCTCAAAGATAATATTTTTTTGATATATATGTATTTTTAAACATTATTTGTTATTATGTGGTTGTAGTAATTAAAATACATATTAACATATCAGTTGTAGTGTGCAGTGGTTGTAGTGTGAGTGATTGTGAAAGTAGGAAGTTATTTTTGTCTGTACCCTTGCATGACGGTAACAACTATTCATAAACATATTCTTTTAGTGTCAATAAACTTCCACCAACAGTTAGCCTACGCAAAGGGGAAATAGCGACCAAAATGGAATACCCCTATAATGTTTAATGATGGAGGGAAGCCATAAAAATCCCTTCCAGTAACACAAATAAAGACGATTCAGCTAATTATTGCTAATGTCAAAGTGGCCCTTACAAATACATGACAGGAAATAGCATGTTAATTGCAAATAACCCCAGCTGTAAGTGCATCTATAACGGTAGGAGAGGGAGTAAACTGTAACTACCATGGTCTGAACAAGCGTAAGTGGACCTTTTATGACATAATGGTGCATCTTATTTCTACATTTTTACAGTGAAACTACATCCAAACGAGTATTTTTTGTGTTCCCCCTCTTGGATAAAAATAAAATGTATATATATTGTTATTTTTTGTGGCATTGCTCTGATTGCAGGATAGATCAATTTCTTAAAGAGGGAGTATTACCCATATTTTTCAAACTATAAGTCGCACTTTTTTTCATGGTTTGGGTGGTCCTGCGACTTATATATTAGAATGTTCACACTGACAGCCGCGTGAGGGCACTCTAGGTTTGTGTGTCAGTATCTAGTACTCCTGTTACTCCTGTACCACCATCACTTCACTCTGCTGTGCATGTCTCTTGCAGAAATAGCCGCTGTCTTGCTTCAAATAGTGAAATATGTAGCCGAAAACGGTAATCGAGCAGCAGAAAAAAAGTTCGGAGTGAGCGAGAAACTTGTGATTGACTGGTGGAAAGCGGGGATGGAGAACACAGCTTCTCAGCAACTTGGCGAGTGTGCCATGTAACTTTCCTGGAAGTCACCGGATGAATCGACAAAGCCTGAACTTCAATGATAGTCAAAACCATACTGTCGTCAGACTCGGCATCAGCTGAGTCTGACGAGAGCTACGCAGAAGTTTACCTGTTTAGATTCATGAGGTACCTGTTTACCTCATGGATCTATGGTTTATCTCCAGAGGTCGTGCAGAAGTGACACCAAGGATGAAGAATTCAATGGATTTAGTGATTTGAAGTGAGATCGTGAGTTTGATAAACTTATGTTATGTTGTTTATGCTGTAATTATCTGAATAACTGTTAATATTTTACGTTAACATATTATTCAGCCTGTTGTTCTCTATTCTGTTGTTATTACTATAACTTGCCTTTCAAGATGAAATGTTAGTTCTTTTTCCCAAAAAGTGTGATTTATAGTCCGGTGCAACGTATATATTTTTTTCTTCTTCATTGCTCATTTCTTGGCTGGTGCAACTTAATAGTCTGGAAAATACGGTACACTTCTATGTGGTACTAACTGCTAAAACATAAGGTCACCATGTTCCCTTTTACCATGTTCTGCCGAAAAACATCAGAAAAAAATAAGTTTCAGTTTAGTTTTTGATTCTCCATGAATCTACAACACACAGCATCAAGTTTGTGAAGTTGTAGTGCACTATTTTGTATGATGTTTTTTTATATTTATGGAAAATTGCCGTATGGGAGCATAAATGACGTAGGCTTGCAGGCTTTTAACACTAAGGAGGGTTTAAATAGGGCTCAGGAGAGATCACAAGATTACTCAAAGATACATGGATGACTTAAAAGGTAAACAACTTTATAGCATGGTAGAAAGATCCAAAAAGTCGATTCTCTTTAACTATTAAAGGAATATTATCTGTCTTGTTTAAATCCAGGCTCAAAATGATTGAAAAGTTTTTATTCTGCTCTTTTCCTTCTCATGTAATGTCTCTCTCTCTCTCTCTTTGTTAATTTCATGATGATTATTTATGTTTAGATTCCTTTGTAATGTGATTTTAATGTATTTCTTATTCTGTAAAGGACTTGGAATTACTTTGTGTACGAATTGCGCTATACAAATAAACTCACCTTGCCTTGTGTTTTTTTGCCAGGCAGTCCTCCTGTTGCACCCGTTGCCAATGTCATGCCCAAGGACACAACAACAGCCTGTGCTAAGATGAAGTGGAATCAAACCATCAACATTCTGGTCAGTAGGTGACCCAGTTATCCCCTGTGCTACTCTCCCTTCTCAGAATTGAATATTTGTTGTATGAATTAACAAACAATGCATGCATGACTTTTAGGCTGAAAACGCTGAGCTCTGCAAGTATCCGAGAGTTGGCAAACCTAACCTTATAATTATGTAAAATTATACAGTAGATGGAATGTATTCACCATCGATTTTCATATTGACTTAAATAAATTACCAGCAACAGTGTAGAAGCGCAATTTGTTTAACTATACGGAAAGTCTAGAGATTAAGAAAACAAAACAACCAAAGATCTCACAGAAACTTACACTTCTCAAAAGATGCAACTAATATTTTTTTTATTACTACACCGTGATCATAAGTGCTTCATCTTGGAGCAATAACAGCATTTCCATTTGTGGTTTTGCTTCATTCACCGCGTCAGCATATACGGTCTCCAAACCTCATGCGTTCCTGTGTAATTCCTCTGAAAATCTAAATGGAAAAACGGACTGGCCACTGGACTTTACCGCCACCAGTGAAGGCCAACTTATGTAACTCACAGGTTACTCATTAAGAGTATAGATTGTGAAACATTTTAGCTTTTTGTGTGTGTGTATTAGTCACATTAGTAGAAATACAACTTGGTTTCAGGTAACACCACAATATTCTTCTGTCCAGTATTAAAGGTCCTATCTTAGTCAAAATGGATTCTTGTGAGCTTTAAGTCATGTTAAAATGTTGTTACTAAGCTCATAAAAACATACCTTTGTGTTTTGTTTCATTCACACATGCTTGAGTAACCTTTTAGATTAGTCTGTCTACATCTCCAAAGCTCAAAATTTAACCTTGTGATGTCATGTAGTGAATCACAAATGATTCAAGTGAAGGTGTATGGAGTTTAAAAACACAATGGAGCACTTCCTGTATTGACATATGGCATCACAAGGTGGAGTGTTTTCTGTTTGAGAGAAGAACATGGTGAATATACAGCATTTGTGTGTTAAACGTGTGACTTAAACAAAATATAGCTGTGTATGTTTGTGACGATGGAACAACATTATTAAAATGGTGAAACATTGACCCTTTAAGGCCCTTTGATTGACACCAACCGGCCCGTTTAAGCTCATTTGGAACAAGCGCAGAGATAGCAACCTAGTTCCCCGTGAGGCATCGATGGGGTCAGTTCATCACCACAGAAGCAGCTTATGAGGAGCCCAGCCTATATTACATGATCGTTATATCCGCAATGTAATGTGTGTATCTGCACAGGCCCATGAACATTTGTGTGATATTGGTCACACATGAGAATGGCTGTGTTTACTAACGTGTTACCAAAATGTCATTTTTTATGAGTTGCGTATATGTTAGTTCTGTGTTGTGTATCACCAGAAAAAGAAGAAATGGAAATTATTTTCGTTCCAATTAGAATTTTAACGGCTACACTGAAAGAGAAAGGAACTGTTCTAATTAGTGATTATCTTGAAAACTATTAATATTTTACTATACAAATGCATAGAATTATAAATAGATAATAATTTTTCTGAAATTTTGAGACCACTCCTGTTGCTCTAGCTTGATTCTTCACAGTTTTGACCTAAAACACATATTTGACCTTGGTTACCTAGACCTTCAAGTGACCTTGACCGGTTTCAACCTCTAAGATCCAGTGTACCCCGGTTATGTGTGGGCCAACTTGTATGATGATTGGGTGAATATTTTAGGCCGCAGATAGTTCAGAAATTGCCGAAATTGCCTATCCTTTATAATGCCGTGACTTTTCAATTGACCCATGTGACCTCAAATGACCTTGAATCCTCACCAAACTTTTTTTGCTGCCTCGGGCACGGGGGCTTGACCCAAATACCAAATTTGGTGACAATTGGTCCATAAA